ACTGAATCACAAACATTCATTAACTCATACTCAATGGATGACACATTGACCCAGCCACTGACCATGAAGGGCCAGAAAACTTCACCGACAGATGAAATGGACTCGAGAAATGAATGAATTTATCATTTGTACTTATTACACCATTACAAAATTTAAATCATATCTGGCAGAGTAGACAGACAGACAGTCACTACATGAGAAATTTGCACAAAAATAACCAAACCTCACTTATAGAGCAACTGATTGTTGAATAGTAAAGAACAATTATAAACAGCAGCCTTATTCTACAAACAATAATTGAATATATTAAACACCAAGTTGCACAACAGATACATTAACACTGTAGGAATAGTGCCTGAACAGCAGTCACTCACTCATACATGCAATTCATGAAAATACACAATATTTAAAAACGTACACACACAATATGCATCAATGAAAACACTAACAAATTTGTCTGTGGTACAGTAGATTCCCAAAAACTTGGCCTAATGTAGACCGAAGGGTGGCCGAGTTTGTGAAAATGCCGGGTTATCGGGAATGGGGTTAAAAAAGAGTAAGTACGAGTGTTTCCTCAGAAAATACTGTACTGTACTTGTGTGTATTGTTTGTTTGAGAATACAACAGAAAATAAACCGACCAAATACCCTTAAACAAAGGAAAAGTACATACTTTATGAAGGCATAGAGCCTTTACTACATGAAAATGAAAATTAATGAATACACCGTGTACAGTAATTTACCTGATAAGACAAACCTCAGAAAAATACTTTGAGGCATAAAGCTGTCTATAATGAAAATTAACTAGGGGTTTTTTCGCCCTTCCAGGGTGTGGCCGAGTTATCCGGACTGCCGGGTTATAGAGTGCCGAGTTTTTGGGACTCTACTGTATCACTAATTGTAACTGTTGTGTTAATTGTTCTGTATTTCAAGAAGCTGTTGTAAAATACACAGATTTAGACTAATACAAAAATAGCATAAAAGTTTTTTTGCTATCTAAATACACACACATTATGTCAGAAATTGAATGTTTTAGTACATACATATACTAGTCTGTTATAGTGTAATTAGTAACTGTAGCTACATACCATGGCCTTAAACTGCAATCACAGACAAATCATAAGCTTGCCTGGCAAAGAAGACTAGAAACACAAATACATAACACCTCATTAGACAAAAATTAGGCAGGATGACACAATATACTAAAAATAATTAAAAACTAGTAGCTATTTGTGTGTGTTAATTTTATTTTAGTGTGTCAATATATTTCTATACATGTATATTGTGTTGTTTTTGCTGTTATAAAGACAGCATATATACAGGCATATCATTTCAATGAAAACAACAAAAATTATTCACAAACAATGCGATGCTTTTCTATAGATATTATTACCAAACCAACTACATAATCACAGCAAAATGGCATGCCAACAGAAAAACGACTTACAGACTATTAGTCTGTTCTTTGGTTCGCTCCAATCTTACACTAAACTGAAGCAGACTAGAACAAAAAGGAAGAATAAAAACATGCTTAAGACTCCAATAATGCACTGTGCCAAAATAAATATACACAACATCCAACATACAATACAAAAACTCATAGTTTGAAGACACCTGATGCAGACAACAAATATTTACATCACTGCATCAGGAATCAGTCAAACATTTTACACACAACAATCCATAAGATATGCCACAATTTCTTACACAAGGCATCACATAGATATCATTTTTGGGTTTCATGTAACATCAAAGACCAATTGCATGCCTTCCTACACTACACAATACTCATTGTTTGTCACAAAGTATACTATCATATAGATTATAGAGCAACACAATATTCTCACAGAGCAACAAAAAAGGCAGTTTAGAAAATACATGGGATGCAAAGAACAGTTACTCAATCAGTAACTGTTCATTGCATCCCAACTCTGATTTATTCATTCTAAGATAAACACACTAAGAACACAGAAACATAGAATATATAGATTACAGGATGACATGCAACAACCATGAATGTGGGATGCTGCAGAATCTATACAAAATACATCCAACACAGTGGCGGATTTCTGAAACACGCCTGGGGGCCTCAAAATTCAGCACTCAAATTAATTAAAATAATTTTTTTCATAATAATGGTAATTATTATTTTAATTTAGGGAATACTGCTAAATTATTAACTCTTAATAATTATTTACCAAAAAATAGTGAAATCTATTATAATAATTTACAAATAAATTTTTATTTGTAGATTACTATTGATTTGTATTTCAAAAATTAGTAAATTTTAAAATAAATTATTTTTTATACACATGGATTACTAAATTGTTTTTAACACTTTTACCTATTGAAACTTAATAATTCTTGTACAAATAAGTTTCAATTTTCATAATTAATACAATCTGAACATCAGTAACCTTTTAAATACAGCCAGGCAGTTGTAATTTTATGCTGGTTAATTTTTTTGTTATTTCCCTGGCTCACTTTTTTTGGACCACCGGATTAGTGCCTACCAGAGTAAAAAACGTGCATGTAGAATGAGCACTGTAGGGTGTAGGGATAGTAAAAATATTTAGAGGGGCCTCAGGTGCTAAATCTGCCACTACACTACAACATTTTGAGAAAACACTGGAGAACACTATACCTTAGTCTGTGTAGTGTTGCATTGTCATTTCCTATAAGAGAGTGTTTATATATGTGATGTGATTGACTCAATATGATGTGTTTTACAGGCTGTTTACGTTGTGTTTGATATATTTGATATTTGGTTATGTCAAATGACACATACAGGAATCATATTACAAATACACTACGCAGTCAGTTATAGAAAACACACAAAATATATTATGACCTTGCCACAATCGCACACAAAACAATCTGTTCCAACAGTCCAGACATGACATTAATCATAGACTTAGCTGTACCAAACACCCACGAAATAAAGCATCTGTGGAGAATGGATGAGGTACAGTATGTATTGTACAGTACTAGTAGTACTTTACTGCAAGGCGTCATACAACTTACATTACAAAAAGTCTGGAAACATTTGTTTATGCGCTGTTGCGAAGCATAAGATTTCTACAAAAAGATGGCATACCTATCTGTGTATAAAAATGTCCTGACTAGGTGATATGTGTTTAGCATGGAAGCCTCTTGTTACAAAAGTCTCGAAACATTAGGGTTTTCCCAACAGCACAAACGGCACGTAAAGAAAACATTTATTTTCTGTGGTTACACCTCGTTCCAGTTCCGGTATATACTGTGTGCTGTGTAGATCTATTCCAACAGCACCACACGAAGAAAAATCGTCGTATATAAAAAGATTATCTTATTAACCCAACTCGATTATAATATAATATGTTCGAATTTATATTTATGAATGATTCTCGAAGATCCAGCTTATTTTTCGAATTTATTAAACCTGAAGAAGAACCCAGAAAGAGTTATGAAAACGTTTATTTATCACTTAGTGGTACTACGCACCGGTTAGTGGTTGCAGTGAGTCTTATTTATCGTTATCTCGGTATGGTAAACAGATACCTAAAAATTCTCTAATTAGGAGAGGCTCGGAAGAGGGAGGGGGATCTAATTCTTACACTCGGTGAAAACGGGTAAGATCGGCTATAGTCTAATAATCTTTGCTAACGTTACGTTTTGTCCGAGCAACGCCGGACTCATCTGCTAGTATGGTTCCATTTAATCAAATATTACCAACTTTATATTGTATTTATATAAATTGAAAGAGTTTATTTTACCGTCTGATTTTAATGTGTAGATAATGGTAAAATCGATTGTCATTTACAGTAATTATTTTGTTTAGTACGTGCAATATCTAAAATATATACTTGTATATAGGAGAAACAAAAATGGCACTTTAATTACTAGATGTAAAGAATCTCACAGATTAAACTTTCCAGGACCCTGTTTCTTCTATGTTTTAGAGAGACCCTGTTACTTCTAAGCACAAGAGTCTAGTTCCCTGGTAAGCATTAGTTCTAAATTATGCCGCTACGGCGGACAGCGCCAATCGCCGCAACTAATGCTTACCAGAGAGTTAGACTCTTGTCTTCTGAGCTCCATACAACCATTTTTTTTAATTAAAAATTTTATTTTCTGTTGGTAAAAATAACATAAAATGCTTTTTTATTAATAAAAAAGCATTTTGGCATATTTAATTTTATAAGAGTACAACCACTAAGGATCCCTAAGTTTTCTCAAGGCTCGGGGGAAAACCCCAGTTCCCTCTCCCTCTGGATGTCCCAGAGAATAATTTCTGTATTTTACGAACACTGTACGATAAATAACGTATTTGTAATATTGATAAGGATAATATAGCCTTTAAATTTTCTAGACTGCATATTCATCGGAATCAAATTATGTGTACAGATATTTAAATCTAGCAATAATCCAAGCAACAAGAAATGGTATGGAAATAAACAACTTATGGAGAAGTAATGACGATCGGATTTACACGTGCCTAGTTTAGGGCTTTACGCTGTAGGCCCTGACAAATAAAAACCACTTACTGTCTATCCAAATATTCAATTTCAAAGTAGAATTGTTGTGTAAATTTTACTCTGCATGCAGATGATTCTTAGATAAAACATAAGTTCTGTATTACTTATTATTTAGTGACAAAAGATGGAATTCCTATTATCTAAAGTTCTAATGAATAAAAGAAATCAACAACAACACACAGGAACACTTCAAATTGAATATAGTTCTTTTCCACTAGGAAACTATGCAGGAAAAATTGCAGCCCAATAAACTATGCTACGTTTAGCAATCTTAGGCTATGAAAAAAAAATCAGTGAATTCAATAATCAATTTGGACACTCCAGAATTATTGAAATTACAAATACCGAAGAGTTCCCTAATTACATTGCATCCCCGAGTTTAAGAAAAAAAGAGGTAAATACAGGTAAGATGCAGAACAAATAAGTGTGTTCACCTGTATTTACCTTCTGGATATTTGTATTTACCTGAGATTGAGTATCTGAATGGGATCAAATGGTTTATAATAAAGTCGAAAGGAAATTTATCATCGAAATACGTAATTTAACTCTAATTTTTTTTCATTAAACGTGCTTTATTAATGCCACATTCGATTTAATTCCATTTTTAGAGGCAAGCAGATGATGGCACTTAACTAGAAGTTTAATTGTAGTTTGATAATTCATTTACTTATTGTTAGAGTTCAAATATTTAAAAATCGCAACGAGAATTGAACTTAGACTAACTTTAATTGACATATAATTCGCGATTAGTGTGTTTTAAAATTAATTTTGTTTTTGAGAGACTCGAGAGAAAGAATTTTTTAACTATCCAGCGGGCACTAAAAGAGCATTTTTTAAAGCAAGACCATTATGGGTTCGGCCAGGCCTACAATGATGAGGATCGAGGGCCCGTTGTATGACATGTCCTGAGGAAAAACACCGAGTGTTAGGTCGCCACCTTAACCACTGGGCCATCTGCCCGTCAACTATAATGATATATTAGTAATTAAAATTCCATCCAAATTTAACAACATGATCAACTAGTAACTTTAAAAGAGTGAGTATGAACTACTACTATTAAGTCAGCTACGAGTATTTAGTATCTTGAACTTACTAATTGTTTTATACGTAGGTAGAGTTGCCAGAAGTTGCTACACATCTTCCACTCTTTGAAAGACTTTTGGCTTGTCTGGCTTGGAATATCTTCATTATAGCTGTTTCTAGATCACTGGAATGTGCAGTTCTCTTCACTTGACACTTGACTATGCATTTAACAGGATGCAGATGCAGACACTACGAGAGAAAAATATATTTTAATTTACTGTATATAGTAAATTAAAAGCTACTTTAAATGCTATTTAATTTTTCCAAAAAACCGATACAATTTTTAGGCGTAATTTTTATTTGCAAACAGACTATCTCAAGAGGGCCAACCCTCAATGGGGTTAATCTCATTAACGTACGAGCGTTGTTCCCATCTATGATAAATTATAAGAGATGGAATCGGGGTTGAATACGAATTACTTGTGGGATAGATTTACTACTCGGTTCCTTCAAAAATTTTTAAAGTTTCAAAATAAACAAAAATTTCCATTTAAAGATATTTGAAATGAAACTAATTTTGTATTTCACTCGACCGTTCAACTAAATATACATATAATCAACTTATTATAAGTTGAACTTCCAGAATGCCATATTAGCAGATTGATTAATTCTCCATCCGAATTCGATCGATCTAATTAAATTGTCTCAAAATGATATTACAAGGAAGATTCGTGTTTCGACTTAAAGATGGCAATTTAAATTCTCTAAGCCGAGTCTTTAATTATTCGTATCTTGTTACACGAATTATTAAATTTTGTGATATATTGGTTATTAGAATGAATTTCCGAAATTATTTATAACTTTTTAAAAAAATTATTCTAAAATAAATTTTTAAACAATTTTTTAATTATTGACGAAAGGAGTCCGATGTAATCTCGCGTTATCACCAAACGAAGTTCGTTAAGATAGAGAAATGACGTAAAAGATGCGCCATCACACATATTTTAGTAATAAAAACAACTTAAAATTGACGTAATATTTTGCATAAGTAAAATGGCAGATAAAGTTAATTTAATTCGTGCTTCATAAAAATATATTTAAAAGAATTACAAAATTTTATATTTTCCTCTTTTATAGATTCAATCAGAATTTAAATGGAAAGCCACTAGCGACAGCGAAAACAGCGGCAAGTAAAGAGTTTAATCTGGTAGAAAGTAATGACGTTATTTAAAAAATTCGTGTCAGAAGTGGGATTCGAACCCACGTCCTCATACGAGGACCAGATCTTAAGTCTGGCGCCTTAGACCGCTCGGCCATTCTGACCCGATGTTCAACCTCTCTGACTTTATCTTGTAAAGTAATAGTAATCAATATTCTGTACTAATAAGAGAATAATTGAAACAAATTTTATATATGAATAATGCTTATGGTTCTCTGTACTATTAAAAATGAATGTTATAAAAATAATAATTGGCTGTTTCGTAGAGATGTTACGTCATCTGAAAATGCAAAATTTGATTGGTTTAAGATCATTTCGTAACCAATCTCCTTTTAAACTTTCCGAGTCACAGCTTCTTTTCGTTTTTCTTAAGATGGCGGACTATATTGGGTTTTATTTTTGAAATTTAAACTTTTAATAACAGAATAAATTTAGTTTAAAGTCTTAGTATTTTAAAATAAATTAATTATTTACGGTACAATAATTTGTTACCGGTTTATAATAAATCTGGTCATTTAGTTTATTTACTTATTTATAGATGGCAGCACGTTATCAAAAATTTTTAACTTTCTTCTTAATTAAGTTAGTACTGTATTTTAATTTTAAATTAAATTTTAAAATATATTTGTGTAATATTCTATCTAATTAAAAATATATACTGTATA